CCACCATTTTTGACGCTTCCGAATCCAACCGAGAGCTTGGTTTTATCTAATTTTTCCACGAAATATTTGTAAAATAAATTTGCAATTATTTTCGATGGAATCTACAAGTACGATTACGATGGTTCGACTTACGCCCACAAATTACAACATGTGGAAGCCAAGGATGGAAGATTTGCTTAATCTGAAAGATTTAGCAGAGCCTATAGAAAAGCAAGGCGTCAAACCCAACACGAAGACAGACGAAGTTTGGACGAGAATAAACAGGAAAACGGTGGCACAAATTCGACAGTGGATCGACCACAGTGTTTTTCATCATGTCTCTCAAGAGACAGACGCGTACAAACTTTGGGAGAAGCTCGAGAATATGTATCAGGCAAAGACGGCACGCAACAAGACCTTGCTGATGAGGCGCCTTGTAAACCACAAGTTACGAAGTGGTACGTCCATAACCGAGCATACGAGTCAGTTCCAGGATCTCGTAAACCAGCTCGGTGCTGCTGATTGGGTTCTCAAAGACGAGGAACAAGCCATATTGCTCTTGAGTTCTCTACCAGATAATTAGGAGACGCTTGTTGTGACTCTCAGCAATTCTGCCCCCGGTGGTAAAGTGACAATGGAGATGGTCACAGATGCCCTAATGAACGAGGAAGCCAGAAGGAAAGAAGCTGGTACAGACCAGTCTTTTGCCCTCGTGTCAGAAAACAAAGAAAGAGGCGGAGGCAGAACTGGAGGCTGAGGTCGAGGTAGAGGCAGAGGTAGACATGGTCAAAGTAGAGGAAGATCCCAAGATCGTGGGAAATCACGAGATCGAGGGAAATCGCGAGAGCGAGGTAAATCTTCAAATACATGGTTCGAAGGCTATTGCAATCATTGTAATTATTATGGCCACAAAAGGAGTGATTGCCGAAGGTTCTTACGAGAGCAGCCTGAGACAAGCCAGAATCCAAGCAGGGAGAATGGTGAAACCATGGTCACCATAACACAAGACGTTGCCCTTGTTACATACGAGGAGGAAGCATGCCTACATGTTGAAACTCATGATGATGAGTGGGTGATTGATAGCGCTGCATCATATCATTCGACTCCAAACCGGGATTTATTCAGTACTTATAAACCCGAAGACCATGGTACCATGAAGATGGGAAACACCAGTTTCTCAAGCATTGCTGGTATTGGTGATGTGCATTTAAAGACCAATGTTGGATGTACATTGGTGTTGAAAGATGTTCGGCATGTCCCAGAGCTGAGAATGAATCTTATCTCAGTTGGAGCTCTTGACGTCCAAGGATATGATAATCAATTCAAAAATGGCACCTGGAAGTTGTTGAAAGGTGTTATGGTTGTTGCAAGGGGAAAACTTGATGGTACTCTTTATAAAAGTCATGCAAAGTTGCTTCAACCAAGTCTCAATGTTGTTAAAGAAGAGACATCACCAAACTTGTGGCATAGAAGACTAGGCCACATGAGCGAGAAGGGATTGACGACTCTTGCAAAGAAGGAGTCCATTTCAATGGCAAAAGATGTTGCCTTGGATCCTTGTAAATACTGCCTATTCGGGAAACAACACAGAGTTCTGAGTTGCTGAGCCTTTAGCTCCACAAGAAAGAACCGCTCTGAGTTGCTGAGCCTTGTCCACTCCGACGTATGTGGACCCATTGAAGTAGAATCTCTTGGTGGAAGCCGGTATTTTGTGACATTCATTGACGATGCGTCACGAAAGGTATGGGCATACTGTTTGAGAACGAAGGACCAAGTATTGGAGCGCTTCAAAGCTTTTCATGCAATGGTGGAAAGACAAACAGGCAAGAAGCTAAAATGTCTCCGATCAGATAATGGAGGCGAATACTATTCCCGTGAGTTCTCTAAATACTGCACGGAACATGGTATCAGACATGAAAAGATTGTCCCACGAACCCCCACAACACAATGGTGTAGCAGAACGGATGAATCGCACCATTGTTGAGAAAGTTCGATGCATGATCAGCATGACTAAACTCCCAAAGCCATTCTGGGGTGAAGCTGTATTGACATCTTGCTATCTAATAAATAGGTCACCTTCCGCTCCATTGAATTTTGAAGTTCCGGAGAAGATATGGACGGGTAAAGACATATCATATTCTCACTTGAGAGTATTTGGGTGCAAAGCGTTTGCACATGTATCAAGTGAATTGCGGAAGAAATTGGACCTCAAATCCACTGCATGCATCTTTATTGGATATGGAGATGAAGAGTTCGGGTACAGGCTATGGGACCCAGAACTAAATAAGGTTATTCGAAGCAGAGATGTGGTTTTTATGAAAACCAGTATTATGATTTCAAGGCACCGGTTAACAAGCAACAAAGCTCCAACGTTTCAGATATAATATCTAAAAATAAAGAAGATGTTTCCGCTGAAGAAGTGGATGAAGAAGTCGATGATGCATATCAAGAAGGTGTTGATGAGGGGGAGCTTCCACCCCTGGATAATTCAGATCCACTGCCAGAAGTTGCAAATGAAGGAACTCAATTTCGACGATCCGAACGAGTCCGTGCTCCATCAAGAAGATATCCGACTTCAAACTACATCCTTCTTACTAGTGAGGGGGAGCCAGAGAGCTTTCAAGAAGCTCAATCTCATATTGACAAAGCAAATTGGCAGAAGGCCATGGAAGAAGAAATGAATTATTTGCAGAAGAATCAAACATATGAGTTGGTGAAACTCCCCAAAGGAAAGAAAGCCTTGAAAAACAAGTGGGTTTTCAAACTGAAGAAAGACGGAAAGGGAAATACTATGAAGTATAAGGCAGACATGTTGACAAAGGTGGTGACACAAGAGAAACACAGACTATGTGCTGACATAGTTGGGATGAGGATTGTTGGACGGAGACTGGAGGGGGAGATTTGTTGTGTTCCAGCCTCCAAAGCCTCCAAAGCTATAGTAGCCATCATTGTTGACAAAATGAAACCTACGGGACAAGTTTTTCTTCCCACCCTATGATGAACACAATTAATAGACGCAACTACAATGGTGGCTGCCAAGACTATAAATAGAGACTTCATTCTTCAATTGTATGCATCCCAAATACAGAGACACAAATGGTATAAAACTTAGAGTGAGAGTGTTAGTGAGAGGGTTGGTCTTTTGTAATAGTTGAGTGTGAGAGTTGCTCCTCCTATTGTAATTCTATTTTAGTGTTTAATAGAAGAGTTTTCCAACCCCAACACAACATGATGAAGATCATGCACTTTTTTTAATCCCTCAAAGAAAAAGTTATGTGCAAACTGCATGCTTTTTTTTATACTTAATTTTGTTTTTTTCTTTTTAATTGGTTAGATAATTGTAAAATAAATGTATATTTTTGCCAAATGTTGTATAAAATAGGTAATTAAATAAGCATTAAGTTTTTTTTTTTTTTTTTTTTTTGGTAACAACCAAAATATTTACTTAAGATATTGACTTTGGTCATGGGACTAGGCTTGGTCATGAGAACCAATCTTTGATTATCAAATAGGAGGTGCTAATTTCTTGTGTGGTAATTTCACATAAAAAATTAAATTGATATAAATTCTTGAAACTCTCCACGCTTCAAAGGGTCCAACCGACAGTCACCCCAAAACCTACCCTACCATAAATCTACTATAATGAATCGAAATCCGTTCTGGCACACCGCACATGTCAATCTCTCATAAGTTTTGATATTTGTCATTTTGTGGTATTTTCAAATAAGTAATATCCACATGTTAATTTTTTTTTTTCAATTTTTAAAACTAAAAAGCGACATAGTTTTTTTCTATCTATGCATATAGTGTATTAAATGTAATGAATGTGAAAAATAAATTGCAATAAATACGTTTTTTTCTTTCCATATTAAATTAATTTTAATCAACCAGTATAAAGTACGTGTCTCACATCTAGTCTTTGTAATGTTAGACTTAGTGAAAAAATCATAAGGATCTTCAAAGACATTTGAATTCATCCCATTATACTATTCTATCCTATTAGCTCTGAAGTACGAAAGATTCTTTGCCTTTCTACACTGCATTTTGGTGCATTCTTCTTTCTTTCTTGGTCTTCCTTTCTGCTTAATCGCAATGATATCTACCCCTTGACCTAATAAGGAGGTGTGGTCTCATGATTGTATCATGCCATTCATCGTGTAGGGGATCAACGTTGCCTAATATAAGTGCGCAATCCCCAACTCCTAATTTGTATCAAATCATAGTTAATTATGGATACTCTAATTGGTCTAACAAAATAACAAAATAAACAAATGGTCTGGAGATAGTAAAATCACCAATAGTTGGAACAATTAACCATTATGGATGCTCTAATTAGCCTAACAAAATAAATAATCTTGTGATGTCCGATTTTATGAGGGATGAACAATGGCATATTTACATGGCTCCAAGAGGCGTGCATGGAGCACACTTGGCATGAATATCCAACCCAAATCTTGTATATAAATGATATAAAAATATTAAATTTTTACTGAATAGGGGTAAGAAGATATATTATACTTTAATATTTAACAGATAAAAAATCTTTTGAGAATAAATGCATATTAATTTTTTTTATTAGGTGAAACCTTTTGAACTTTTTTGAAAAAAATAAATTATAAAGTTAATAAATAATTATAGATATATTAAAAATAAATAAATAATAAACTGTTATTCGATTTTTTTGGATTATTTGGTTCTTATTTTATAAACCAAAATCAATCTAAATAACAATTCGGTTTTGGTGAAATCCAATTCAAAAATCCGAATACGCGAACGAAATAGTCCAATTAAAATTGTCCAATTGGACGATTCGGTTTTATCCAAATACTAGTAAACAACCATACTATGGACACCCCTTGACTTTAAGGTTCTCATTCCAATCAAACATTCAAACATTTAATATAAAAACTGAATTGGTAATTGATTTTGGGAATAAAGTTAGCTTCTTTTTAGCAGTTGCAGTGATAAGATATAGAGTATTAGTTTTTATGTAAGTTATAATTGGAATTATTCCTTGTGCAGGTAAAAATTACATCACATGGATGGGATGGAAACCAAGAGTGACTATTATGGACCCTGAGCTCATTAAAGATGTATTTGTAAAATTAAATGACTTTAAAAAACCGAGATCTAATCCAATGGCTAGGTTAATAGCAACGGGATTAGTGACATACGAAGGCGATCAGTGGGCTAAACATAGGAAACTAATCAATCCAGCTTTCCATATGGAGAAGCTAAAGGTACTTTGGTAACTACAGTTTATTTTTCTAATGGATAATTACTAAGATGACCAAATTGGGTGAGACCCGATCTTACACTTTTTGAGCAAATATCACAAAACGATTAGTCCTTTCTCAAAATGAATCAAACTCATTTATTTGCCAAATAATGATCTCATTTTGAAAAATAATCACAATCTTTATTAGTTTTTCTAGTAGGGACCATTCATAAAGACGTTTGGAAAAAAAGACATTTTGCTTCATCCATTTTGGTCATTTTAGTGATCATAAACCCTTTTTTAAGTTGTGCTATTAAATTTGTATGCCTTATCAATGTTACCTATATTATGTATCCAGAATATGGTACCAGCTTTCCAGTTAAGTGGTGGTGAAATGCTTGGAAAATGGGAGAAGTTGGTTTCATCAAAGGGGTCATGTGAGATCGATATTTGGCCTGACCTTCAAGCTTTAACGAGTGACGTTATATCAAGAACCGCATTTGGGAGTAATTATGAAGAAGGAATTAAGATATTTGAGCTCATAAGAGAACAAGGTGTACTTACAATGGAGGCACTACAATCACTTTACATCCCCGGATCTAGGTAAAGCTAGCTGTTTATATATTATGATTTAAGGAGTGGTCACCACCACAAAATACCTAAAAAATTGGTGTTTGTGTGTGTGTGTTTGGGAAATTACATCATATTTGCAAAATGACATGCTTTGTGAAATGATGATGTCTTTTTACAAAAAAAAAAAAAAAACGAATAGCAAATTCCTTTAAGGCTTTTTGTGATTGGGATAATTAATAATGAAAGAATTTGGCAATATGCAAATTCCATAGTGAGAAATGAGAGGGTGTTTTGTGTTATATGTTGAAAAATGTGGACAATTTTTTATTATGCACCTCCAAGGTTATTTTTGAGATTACCCATAATAGAAAAGTAAATCTAAGTAAACTTAATTGTTTATACTACGATTTATGCATAGGTTTTTTCCAACAAGGAGGAACATACAGATGAATGTTATTGATATAAAAGTAAAACATTCTATAAGAGGTATCATTAACAACAAGCTCAAGGCGATGAAGGCTGGAGAAGGTAACAATGGTGATTTGTTAGGAATAATGCTTGAATCTAATATTAAAGAGGTTGAGCAACACCAAAACAAGAATCATGGAATGACTATTGATGAAGTTATTGAAGAGTGTAAGCTTTTTTACTTTGCTGGACAAGAGACAACGTCAAGCTTGCTTGTATGGACGATGATCTTATTAAGTAAGCATCAAGAATGGCAGTCGCGTGCTAGAGAAGAGGTTTTAAATGTCTTCGGGGACAAAAATATGGATTTAGATGGGCTAAATCACCTCAAAGTTGTAAGTACTTTTATCCCTTGGTTACTTCTAGAATTTCCGATGGTTGGCTCGACATGTTTGATTTTAAACTTGTTGATATTTGCAACATAACCCAAGCTATTTAATTAAAATTGTTAAATATAAATGGGTCAACCGACCTGTTTGAATTTCAAAGATTACATAAAATAAATATAGTTTAAAATTAGCTGAATAAATTACAAGCTCAAATAAATGTTCCAACGAAAATTACAACTTAATATTATAGATAACATTCTAAATTTGCAACTTTTAAGCAGCCTCATTTTATTTTTTGGCTTGTTTTTGTAGTGTTTTTGTTTATAAGATTAGCATAATATAAAATTAAAATAATATATACCCAAACAATTTGATGACTTGGTATATATCAAAAATTCCGGCACTTACTCAACAACCTATTTTATCAAAGATGTTCTTTAGGTTGAACATGTTTAATTAAAATGATTGAAAATTTAAATCCAATCCGCTAACAACTATAGTTAATTCTCATAATTATATATGGTAGTTTTGTGTCTCTAAAGTATAATGTTTTTTTTCACATAGGTAAATATGATTTTCCATGAAGTACTGAGGCTATACCCTCCTGTTGTTGGACTAGCCCGTAGAGTTGACAAAGAGATCACATTGGGAGGATTTTCGCTACCATCTGGGATTCTGATCGGATTACCCATCATGCTAATTCACTATGATGAGGAATGTTGGGGTAGTGATGCCAAGAAATTTAATCCAGATAGGTTTTCTGAAGGAATCTCAAAGGCAACAAAAAATCAAGTCATTTTCCTTCCCTTTGGTTGGGGACCTAGAATCTGTGTTGGACAAAACTTTGCATTGTTGGAAGCTAAAATTGCCCTCGCAATGATCTTACAAAAGTTCTCTTTCGAACTTTCACCATCCTATGTCCATGCTCCTCATACTGTTCTCACCCTTCAACCCCAACATGGCGCTCATTTGATTATGCATAAACTTTAACAATAGAAGATTGTGATTTTGAGTTCAATACTATTCGCCTATGTATTATTACACCCTAATATTGTATGAAAGAGATATATGCAACATATTTTGTATATTAAAAAACTATTATATATAGTTGCAGAGTACATCTATGAATTGTTATATATATGGCGGAAGCATGCATTAATCCAATCGCATGTATCTTTTTCGATAAGCAATAATCACTATAAAATAACCGAGGTTTTCAGAAATGATCATATTAGTGGACTGATATGCTGCTGAAACAGTATAACGGCCGAAACAGTTTAGGCTAATACGCACCTGCCAAATTTTAGCAATTAGAAACAAACGAAATATCTGTCTAATACATTTTACTCTCCATCAACTTTTGAGATAAAAATCTAAACAACCAAAGAGGGGTGGATTGTAACAGATTGGCGAATGATATTTAGTGGACAACTTTTGCGACAGAATAGAAAAGGATAGTTTAGCGAGAAGAGTATTTAGAGCATTTAATATTGACGGATTTGAGTTTATAAAGGACTCCACTCTATAATCCCTTTGCTAGTTTAATTTTTCTTTTTAATTCTAAAATTAAACAATATCTGCAATTAATTTTCTATAACGCAAGAATATCCTACGGAAGTTGTCTCTCAACCTAATATTGGGGATGCTCACCATCTTATATTTCTTTTACCTCATTTGTATGAGACTAGGATAATATTTTTTCTATATCATCCATAAATCAAGATAGGGCCTGAGCACATGCAGGGTGTGTGACCGCATTGGGCCCATGTTGTCAAGTGGTCCAGATTTTTAATCTGTTGTTGTTCCGTCACTATCCCGTCCTTAATTCATCACTAATATGTCGTTTATCCATCTAAACCATCACTATTTTTCTCTCTATTCATCGCTAATGTCATATCTGTTGTTAATCCGAAATTTTATAGGTCATTTTTAATTTTTGAATAGGACCTTCAAAATCAACTATGTATCAAGTCATTTTTAATTTTTGAATAGGACCTTCCATATCTCTCTTTTTTCTTTTAATTTTAATTTTAATTTTTAATTTTTAATTTTTAATTTTTTACTTTTTAATGATTGTAGTTTATTTTTGTATATGACACGTGTAATTAACAGCGTGTAATGGACAAAAAAAAAAAAAGAGTGTGATGGACAAAAAAAGGAAGTCAACATGGAAGATTCAACAAGAAAAGAGGAAAATGATAACGTCCTCTAAATTATCTATATTATTTTGTCATTGCGTATGTCACTCCATCCAGATATTAAAAGTTACGTTCTTGGGCAGGAAACAAAGTCATAGAAGTGGTCAATGTTTGTGTACGGACCTTGAGTCAATTTCCCTTTCAACTTGTCCACTGATAAATGCAAACATGTTTGATTTCAATATAAAGAGCCTTCATTGATCATATTCTGGGAACTAGTGGGAAGTGAATAAACATAATGGATGCAGTGACAGACACAGTGGCAATCTCATGTGCTATCGCAGTTGTACTATGCGCATGGCAGTTGGTAAACATTTTGTGGGTGAGACCAAAAAAGCTGGAAAAGCACCTGCGGAATCAAGGTTTCAATGGAAACAAATACAGATTTTTGTATGGGGACATGAAAGAGTTTTCTTTGATGGTCAAAGAATCCAAATCTAAGCCTTTAAGTCTGGATGACGATGATGGAGCTCTATTACGCGTTGTGCCATTCACCCATCACTGTTTGCAAAAATATGGTTAGTTTCGTCTTTTCTTTATGTTGTTTTCTTACATGATTCTTTAGAAAGACCAAGAAACCCCATACAATGGTAAAACTTTTTCAATCTGTTCATGTTGTTAGTTAAATTTGGATTTATATTCATAGAGGGAAAGTGACAGTGGTTTAAAGATCGATGCGTGTTAATCCCGAATTTATGGGCTTTTGACATCGATTAATTTAGCAGTTCATTTTAAGTGGTTTTCCAAAGTCAAGGTTACATTTAAAGACAATTTAGCTTATTTTTTGTGACACTTTCAGATCAATTGGCATTGGTTTTGTAATTATGTGTTAAAAGTTCTGGGATTTTCACCAATAAATATCAAAATATGGATCTTCGTGACAATATAGGATCACATACGTAATTTAGGGCTTTTGAATATAGGATCACATGGTTTTACCCTGTTATTAGAAAAGGGCATTAGGGGGGGGGGGGGGGGGGGGGGGGGGGGAGGGGAGGGTCATCTTGTTTTAATTTATAATAACGATTAGGGTATTTCTATATAAAAAAGATTAATAAAAAACGATGTTTTTGCCAAGAATGGTCTATAATTGAGCTTTTTTCAATAAATCATAATCTACCATAATAGAAAAAAATCATTTTTTCAATGTTTCATTCGTTTATTTTGTCAATGTTCGTTATTTTAAATTAAATTTTTTTATATGTCATTTTATGGGTTTTTTTTTTCATTATATTAAATTATACATGATATTTAAATGTAATAATTGTAATAAGTATAATAATAAATAGATATTAATTTCATTAGTAGTTGCAATTATATGATATTTAAATTTACATGCAAGTGTATAATCAAAATTATCGTTTTTTGTAGGTAAAAATTTCATCACATGGATGGGCTGGAAACCAAGAGTGATTATTATGGACCCTGATCTCATCAAAGATGTATTTGTAAAGTTAAATGACTTTCATAAGCTGGAACCTTCTCCAATGACAAAGTTTATAGCAACAGGATTAGTGACATACGAAGGGAACCAATGGGCTAAACATAGGAAATTAATCAACCCAGCCTTCCATATGGAGAAGCTAAAGGTACTTTGATAACTACACTTTATTTTGTAAATTGTCTTATTAAATTATTACCTATTATTTGGCTTTGTCACTAATGTAAACTCTTTATCTTATTTGCTAACTTCTTGATGGTTTTTATTAATATCTGGTTTCCTGTTAAAAAAATCTAATGATACAAATGTTTTGTAACCAGAATATGGTACCAGCTTTCCAGTTAAGTGGTAGCCAAATGCTTGGGAAGTGGGAGAAGTTGGTTTCATCAAAGGGGTCATGTGAGCTCGATATTTGGCCTGACCTTCAAGCTTTAACAAGTGATGTGATATCAAGAACAGCATTTGGAAGTAATTATGAAGAAGGTCTTCAGATATTTGAACTCATAAGAGAACAAAGTGTACTTGTACAGGAGGCAGTGATGTCAGTTTACATTCCTGGATCTAGGTAAGTTACATTTCCAAAAAAAGGATATGCTTAATCAATAAGAAACAAAAAGACTGTGCATTGACCAAATGGCCATAGTTTGAACAAATATCCTAAAATAATTACATGCTTAGCAAAATTCATTTTTATGAGGGTGGACAGTCATTTTTTAGAAATGACATCATTGTTTTACTACATGATTTCATTTTGCAAAAAAAAAATGTTGTTGGTATATTCACTTTGGAACAATTTCGATAAAAAGCCCAATATTTTGGCTATTTTTGTTATCGACCCAAATAAATAAATCCATGCAAAGCTAATTCTTTCTCTCTATGATTTCTATGTAGGTTTTTTCCAACCAAGAGGAACAGAAGGATGAATTCTATAGACAGAAAAGTAAAACATTCTATAAGAGGTATCATAAACAACAAGCTCAAGGCAATGGAGGCTGGAGAAGGTAACAATAGTGATTTGTTGGGAATAATGCTTGAATCTAATATCAGAGAGGTTAATGAACACCAAAACAAGAATCATGGAATGACTATTGATGAAGTTATTGAAGAGTGTAAGCTTTTTTACTTTGCTGGACAAGAGACAACATCGGGCTTGCTTGTATGGACAATGATTTTATTAAGTAAGCATCAAGAATGGCAGTCACGTGCGAGGGAAGAGGTTTTGAATGTTCTTGGGGACAAAAATGTGGATTTAGAACGGCTAAATCACCTAAAAGTTGTAAGTTCTTATATCACTTTGTTAATTCTAGATCTAGCAAGAGTTAAGTTAAATAGGTTGAGATTTTGAATCCAACCCAACTTGTTAATTAAAAAACAAAGTTAAAATTTTCAAACCAATTTTGATATATTAAAAATCGGGTTGTTCTTGGGTTGTCCCCTTTGTTTTTCCCAACATCTTAAATATATGTGTTGGACAAAGATTGACTCATTTTATTTTAAAATTTACATTATATTAAAAGTTTAAACTTAGTTGAATAAGTTACAAACCCAATTCATTGTCCCAAGTTAAAAAGAAGCACAACTACATCTACAACTTAATTACTTTAATAACATTCTAAATTTGTAAGATTAAATATAATTTAAAAAGTAAAGTGTTTTACCGATCGATATGAGGTCAAAATTTTCAACCCTGATCCAACCAATTCAATTCTCATAATTATGTAATCTTATGTCCTTAAATCATCACTTTTTTTCTTTCTAGGTAAATATGATTTTCCATGAAGTATTGAGGCTATATCCACCAATCGTTGGGCTATTTCGTAGAGTTGACAAAGACATCACACTGGGAGGATTTTCACTACCATCTGGAACTCATATTGAATTACCCATCATGAATATTCACTACGATGAGAAAATGTGGGGTGCTGATGCCAAGAAATTTAATCCAGATAGATTTTCTGAAGGAATCTCAAAGGCAACAAAAAACCAAGTCATTTACCTTCCCTTTGGTTGGGGACCTCGAATATGTGTTGGACAAAACTTTGCTTTGATTGAAGCTAAAATTGCCCTCGCCATGATCTTACAGAGGTTCTCTTTCGAGCTTTCACCATCATATATCCATGCTCCTCATAAGCTTCTCACCCTTCAACCCCAGTATGGTGCGCATTTGATTATGCATAAACTGTAGCATTCTTTCCATTATTTTGGCTTGAATATTGTTATTTTGTTTGCATGCATGCCTATATTGTATTATTCAAATAATTTTGTATGGAGGGGCACGATATTTGCAATATATATTTTATGTTATAGCAATTATGGTTGCAAATGACATATATATATTTTTATATTGTGAATGTATACATTGCTCCAATTGTGTCTGTATTTTTCGACTTCACAATAATGAATAATGAAGAGACAAAACATACAACTACAAAAGTACGCTTCAATGGTGGATTGAAGTGAAAAATCCGTCTCTAGAATTTCTTGCTAATATGTTGTTATGATGATTATGTTACAGAATCTTCTATCATGAATGGTCTATGAATAATCTGTTAGTGTTTAAGTTTGAAACAGAAGAAATGGATGAACTCATTGTATTGAATCTAACTGCCACGATAAGAAAAGACAGAAATACCCTTGACTTTAACTAACTTCACATAATCATTGTTAACTATGCCATTTTTAAGCCTCTTTGGTTGCATATGAGAGTTTTAAGTTGCACGTTGCGTCAGGAGTTTCAACAATACTTCTTTTGAAATAATATTTTCCTTTGAAGTGTAAGCTCCTCTCAATTTGTGATATTTTTTTATAATGTGGAATGCTAAAATACCCAATAAATAAGAGTACATTAGTATTTTTTTACATGGATAAGACACATTAGTATTTTTTACATGGATAAGACACTGATTCTTTTTAAGTTAAAAGAAAATAAACCAAAGACATACCGGAAGCAATTTTGATCACCTATAAAATATCTTTTTAGGATGTTTGCATAGTTTCGTTCACCACATTTCTATACCACAACAAACACTTCTATAACGATTGGATTTCCATAACTTATGTTTAGAGTCACTTTGTTTTCTTTTCTTTTGAGGTGAAAAATTCTCGCTGCGGTTATTCATTTAAGAAATATAAATTCAAACCAACTAAATTTAAAAAAATAAAAAATAAAGTAAATGAATAACAATATTATATTTGAAAAAAAATGTAAGAACACAAACAAACGTAATAAATTAAAGTATGTTGTTATTTCACACTTTTAGAGTCACTTTGTTTTCTTTTCTTTTGAGGTGAAAAATTCTCACTGCGGTTATTCATTTAAGAAAAATAAATTCAAACCAACCAAATTTTAAAAAAAAAAAGTAAATAAATAACAATATTATATATTAGAAAAAATGAAAGAACACAAACAAACGTAATAAATTAAAGTATGTTGTTATTTCACACTTTTAGCCACCAAGTTAAGGCAATATACTTTGAAACGGTAGTCCAAATAAGAAGAGTTTTCAAAGTACAGTGACGTAACTGGAAAGATGAAAATACATTAAATGTTTCGTCCATTCCTCAAGGATTTGATCATTTTAGGCTTTTAGCCCAAAATACATAGAAAATACTTTAATTTCCAGTAAGAGCTTGAGAAACCAAAGAAATGTATTTAGAAAGAAAATGAATTTGAGGAACCAAAGTAATATACAAACAAAATAATACCTCCATTTTCCATATCATTACACCGGGGGCAATCATTGGGAAGTGTCCATGTCTAACCAAAAATAAAAACAAAAAAACAAAAAAAAATCTCACAAAGACCAAAAAGTTGTAACATGCTGTAAGTGAAATAAATCTATAAAATGAATAAAAGTTACAAACTAAAATATGGTAAATATTTTGTTTTCATATTATTTTAACCAAAAATAAAGACGTAAAATGGTTCTCTAGAAACGGTTTTAAACATATTCTCTAACAATGATTTCATAAAATCAATTCGTTGGCTAACAACCGTAAAAACGAAAAAGACAATAGCAACATTGCATGAAGGGAAGTTGACTAGTTAGGGTAATTATCATTTCATTTAATTCACATCTGGTTTTTTTTTTGTATACATGTAGGCAACAGACTTATTGGATGGGTCTAGTTCACCAGGCTGAGGGAGGGCCACAACATGTATGGAATCAGGATATGGTAGGTTGTGGGAGACCGAGTATGAGGAAGATTACAGTTGGTCCGATAGCGTTCTGTTTAGCATTAGGTTAGTGTCGAGATGGTTGAGTAGTTATTGTCTGTAAGGCTTCCGGTCGGAATGTCGCGAGGGGCGACTGTATAGAAGTCTTTTGGCTCAACAACCGGGTTGGAGCCCGGTATTTCAGATGACTGGCTGACGAAATGGGACCAGGGAGGTCTCAGTGGATTTTGGAAAGCTTCCAGAAGACAGCATGTTGTTTCGGGTAGTTTCAGTGTTTCGGGCAGTTTCAATGTTTCAGGCATTTTCAGTGTTTTGGGTGGTTTGTGTGTTTCGGACAGTGTTAGTGATTTGGGTTTTATTCAATGTTGAGGATTCGTTCTTCACTAGGCTTGAAGGGTTATCCTAATGATGGTTTTAGTATATCGGGATAGGCCGTTGTATGATCAGAATTGGAAGGGTTATGATTGGTTTGTTATTCGTTAAGAGAGGGAAAGGGTTGTTTCAGCACAGACGGTCTGTCAGGAAGTCAGGTCATTGTAGACTTCAGGTCTCAGAAGGTTTGGGTGTTATTGTCGGGATAAAAGTTTCGACTTAAGGTTTCGGTTGCCTTGGAAAGGTTATTTTTATTCGCAGAATTTCTGATCATGATCATCACGTTTATTGTTTTGATATGAGTATTAATAAGGAGCGATTTCGAGGACGAAATCTAATTTAAATGGGGGAGAGTTGTAACATCCGGAATCTAGAAGGTCAATTATGGAAATAAAAACCTCATTATAAAGGCCAACTCGTCGAGTTTGGGGGAGGAAACTCGACGCGTTGGAAGTATTGGTCACGCGTGTTTTGAAGACCAACTCGACGGGTTGGAGAGGACCAACTCGATGAGTTGGACATGGTTTGGGAAACCCTAATTTTGGGATTTTGCACCCTATTTAAACAGCTTAAACCACATATGTTGGCCTCATTTCCAGCCACCATTTTCCTAAACCCTAGCCTCGAAACCCTAAGGCATTTTTGAGTGTTGTGAGCCATTTTGAGTGCTTTGGTGGTGTGCTTGAATCCATTGGAAGGAAGGGAAGCTTGGTGAGAGTTGGTGATACAAGAAGGAGCTGCTAGATCTCGAATATTTGCTTCATTTTCGGCACTTTTATGGTAAAAAGTCTATATCTTGCTTTGCTAATTCATAGATCTCCTTCTTAGGGTTCTTTTGCATGTTTTGGTCCAAATGGAGTGGTTGTTGGGAGTTGGACGTCCCATTTGGACAAACCCTTTTAGATCTATGGTTCTATGGAGCTCTTGTCGCATAAAGGTGCCAACTTTATGGTCTTAAGGTCTCTATGCATCCATTAAGCCCTTATTATGGTCTCTTTTAAGCTTATAAGTTCCCTCTAGCCTTGCATGTGAGTAAAGTTGAAGACTTTGTGTGACATTTTTGTCTTTAAGGTCCATATCTGTGTTCATGGGTCTTATCTTGAAGATATGGTGGTTTTTGGATTAAGACATAAGCCTTTTTGGATTAGGGTTTGAGCTTAATGCCTTGGGGGTGGTTCTTAATGGGTAAAGTTGGAAAATTTACCCTTCTAGACGTATTTTCAGTCTAGATCTGGAAGATAGGGCTTCAGTTTGAAGAATAGTGGCTTAATGCATTAAGTGGGTTGGCTGATCAAAGAAATCGACAAGTTCTTAAGGGAACTCGATGAGTTGGGTTGGGTTTGTCCTGATTTTGTTGAAAAAGGAGGAACTCGACGAGTTAAAATGTAACTCGGCGAGTTGGATCGAAATATCACGATTCTATGCTTAATGGAAACTCGGCGAGTTATGGGATAACTCGACGAGTTGAGTCAACTCGGAGCGTTGACTTTGGCTTTTGACTCATGCTTTGACCAAGTTTGTCCCAAGGGGTGTTTTTGGTAACCTGGATTGTACTTGAGGGAAATATGGGCTTAGGATAAGACCCATATGGGATCAGGCCTAATTTGGAAAATTGGGCCATTAGTTGGCCTTTATGGATCCTATAGTTTTGGGCCTTGTTGGTTTTGGGCTTAGGCCTTGGTTGTGAGTCTTGATGGGCCAGGGGTAAAATGGTCATCATTTTACCCTAAGTTTGGATTATGGATCATGGTTTGGATTTCAGTTGCTAATTGGATGTTATTTGGGTATTGATAGTTTGAGAAGTCGTCAAGTCAGCAACTAAGGTTTCATGCAGTGAGCTTCAGCATTCGAGGTGAGTCTCCCCACTGTTCTATGGGTCGAAGGCACCAATATCGGCCCATTTGGTTTATGTATTGTAGGAGGACCCGGGGGTTAGCCCTGGGCATTATGTATGAAAGACTAGGAGGCAGCTCCTGGCACACTGTATGCTAATTAGTTAAGCATAGTAGATTGTATGCTAGTTGTCTTTGTGATGCTTGCATGGAAGACCTGGAGGTGGCTCCTGGCACTTGTATGTAAGATCCAGGGTTGTAGCCCCTGGCTTGGCAAGAAAGACCACGAGGTGGTCCGTGGCATAATAGAAAGACTATATGCGGTACACAACACTTTTATTGATTATGTTATATGAATGATATGTATGGCTCGCGGTTATGTATGAATCATATGGATTGTTGGATATGTATGGTATGTGGTATTTGAGGAACTCACTAAGTTTTGTGCTTACGGTTTTCAGGTTTGTTTAAGGTACTCTAGTTTTCAAATGAAAGAGCTCGGGACGATCGCAGCGCATATACCCGTGTTTTCCGCAATTCGTGATCTTTGGGATTGGACTCTGATAATTGTTTTAATTAAAATGTTTTTCAATGTTTTGAACAAAGTTACGATAGTGTTTTGATTATATTAAAAATGAAATTTTTACCTTGGATTTTTGGGTCGTTACAAGTTGGTATCAAAGCCTTGGTTTGAGGGATTCAGACATACTCTCGGGTATGCCTGAACACAAACTGAGGGTTTGGTGAAAATTTTTATAAATAAATATTTAAATAAAAAGGAATTCCTAATCAAGAAAGGGGCGTGATGCATGCAATCGACCGAGCTCAAGTAAGTGGTTGTCAAATTACCAATACATGTTTATTATGTGATATGATATGATTATGTGATCGCATGCTAGATTAGAGCTAAGGATCTGCTCAGTATTATATGATAGGAGA